CACAGGATGTTGCTTCATTTCCATGTGTTCCCCCCCCCCGATTTCTGGGTATTGCCTCCCAGACCTGGTGCCCCCAGGGAGGCAGCGCTCCCGCGCCTTGGCAGCGCGCAGGCAGTGGGAGGAACAATTTGGGATCATCTGGTTTTCGGTAAGGAGGAGGGAAGCTGCCGGGTGTGTCTTGTGTGTGTTGTGTCTGGCATGGGACGCACACCAAAGGCGGTGGCTGGAGTGAGCAGGTCTCACATGGATCCGGCTGGGTCCTGTGGGGTACACAGGGGAGCTGTGGGCAAAGCAGCAGAGGCAGCAGCCACGGGGTGCTGGGGCTCCGCTCCCCCGGTGGTCCATGCCCCGGCACAGCCCCTGCACCATCATATACTGTGTGGTAGTAGGGGGGCTTCCAAACCAACTTCTGAGGCAGAGCTGGCTGTGGGTGAGGTGTCCACATATGGGGCATAGAATCTTAGAGTGGTTTGGGTTAGAAGGGATATTAAAGCTCATCCAGTTCCAATCCCCTGCCACGGGCAGGGACACCTTCCACTAGAGCAGGTTGCTCCAAGTCCCTGTGTCCAGCCTGGCCTTGAGTGTTTCCAGGCATCCAGGATCCCCTTCTTCCCAGGCTAGACTTTATATGGAGCTGTTGTTCTTCTGCCATCTCCCCTTCCCATCCCTCATCTGTCACCAAAGCACTTGGTGCCCAGCATTGCACTCAGGCAGTCCCAGATTCCCTCGGGACACCTCATGGGCTCACGTGCACATGGACACGGGGACAGTGTCTGGGTGGCAGAGGGCTCTCTCTGAAGGATATTAGTAATTCAGAGGAGATTGGCTGGAAATCACCTCATTTTCATTCCTGATATAGATGCTGAGAGCAACGCAGAGTGACATGGTTGGTTCTCCATGACCATGGATGTGCTTCAGATGAGACCATCAGAGTCCCTGCTCCCCTCATTGCAGCAAAAGAAAGAGATACACTGGAAATGGCCATAAGGAGAGTGGAAAAATCACGTTCAGCTGAGTTTCTCATCATTCTTTCCCTTTATAGCTAATCAGCTCCTAGATAGTGAGCCTGTAAAGATCATTAGATTAATTTCTTTGCTTGCTGTGACTTAATTGTCCCCATTTATGTAGTACAGCGCTCGTGCTGGGGGTGTATTTTTGTTTGCCTATATTTAGTTTGATCTCTACCGTGATATTGAAATGTATAAATTAAGGCTGGCTCTTGGGCTTTTTGTGGCACTGGCATCCTGTTGGATTTGTGCAATCTGGTACTTCCGTGGTGTGATGCCAGGCGCTGGGAGACGCTGGGGTCCACATTAGCAGAGGAGCTGTGCCAGGGGGAAGTCATCCTGTGGGAACTGCTTCTCCCTGGGGAGATGGTTTGAGGGGAAAAGAGGAAATCTGAGGCAAAAGAATGAAAATAAACATTCTGGGATGCAGTTAACCAGCCTGGGCTGCAGGGGCGGGAACATGAGGGAAAGGGGGATGTGGAGGGAGGCAAGGGAAAGGCAGCAAAGTTTGTGCTTTCTCACTGCAGATCTCGCCCCCAAAATAACATGTCCCATTCCCAAATTGCACTGTGGTGAGCTGGGTATCCCGAGGGATCCTGCAGGCAGCAGGAGGCAGGCGCTTCCCAAAGTCACCCTGATCCTGAGCAGAAAATCTCCCACATATATTATATTAAAGCCAGAAAGTTCAGCTCCCTCTGGGAAGCATCGAGTCAGTGACATTCCTCCAGTCCCAGAGTTGTTGTTGGGAAAAAAACCTCAGTGCAAATTGTCACAATATGGTATTTTGGCTCTTTTTGTTTGCAGCTGGGGCCCGGCAGCGATGCAGTGGGTGCTCAGTGCTCAAATTGGGGTTGGGATCTGAGTGGGGGGGGTCACCAATCTGGAGAAACACCTCAAAAATGACAGATTTAGTGATGTGCAGGTATGTGCAGTCACCATGGGCTGAGGGCTGGCCTGCCCTGCCCTGTTAGTGTTCTGACTGTCCATCAGAGCATCTCTGTTACCCCACACCAGGAGAGCACCACAGTGATAGGTCAGGCACAGGAGCAAACACAGGTAAAGGTTTAACTCGAGTTTATTTATACATAAAGGAGGCAACTGCATTTTGGGATAGAGTTAAACAAGAAAAGGCGGATAGATTTGAGATAGTGAATGCTTCTGACTAAAAACATGAAGAAAGGAAAGAAAATAGAGGAGATGGCAGATTTCTAGGGAAAAAAAGAGGGCAGGGGCTGTCCTCTCCTCCCTGCAAGGCAGTGTTACCAGTGTAAGGACAGGGGCTCTCGCAAGGGCTTTACAAAACAAGGGAAGGGGAAAAGGCAGCTCGAGAGACTCCATCATGATGGGAGCTGACTTACAAGCAACCAAAGTAGTCCAGGATTAACTTCTGCTTAGTAACAAAAACCAGCAATTAGCTAACAAGGGAGATGTGCTTCTAGTGATGGCAGGTACAGCTGGGTTTATGGTGGTGTACTGGTGGTGGCCTCCAGGTCTGCCACAGCCTATGGAGAGCATCCACTGGCTCCTGATGCAGCACAGCCTCATAAAATGGCATTTGCTGGTACATAGCAACTTGATGACAGTATAAAGATGTTTGGTGAAGTGGGTCTGATCATTCCTCTTTGTCAGCAGCAGAGGGATTTAAGAAAGAAAACCCCTGCTCTCTGTATGATCTAAGGTGATGCTGGACTGACACCGTGGCAGAGGAGGCCCTGGCACCGGCCAACTCCAGCAGCTAAAACACAGCACGGCTTTACATGGAAGTAGTTTGCGTGTCTGAAAGTTGAGCATGAGGGAAGCAGAGAGCAGATACTTGCCCAAAAGGCATCTGCCAGCAAAGACACTCCACAAAACTATTGGACAACATTAACACATCCTGGGGCAGGAATCTGTAGTGATCTAGTGCCGTGCCTGGGATACCCTGATCCGCCCCGCCGTGCTGGAGCGTCGCGTGTGCCGATGCACGGTGCATGTCAATGGGCTGCGCTTCCCTATTAACTCAAACTTAATTAGGAAAAATAAGAGCCATATGGTAATTCCGAACACAGGCAAAACAATGTCTGTGTGTTTGGGTCTGGTCTACTCAAATATTTTCCTAGAGCGTTAGTTTTTAATTCTTACATCAGACCCACATAAGCAAACATAAATAGGATTTTATACTTTACATAATCCACCCAGCTTGTGTTTGTTGTTACATATACTGAGTAATCACTGCCTGCCACTGCGTACAGAAGAGCTAATAATAAATATTAGGACACAAACTTACAAGTTAAATGAGATACAGTTAAGTAGTCGATTAAAGGGACAACCGTAATCTAAGGTTACAAAAGACTAAGTATTGCTTTTCTAATGTGCTTTTCTCCTTCATTTAGGTTGCACACCTGCCAAATATATACAGGGAGGAGCGAGCAGGAGAGCTTGGAGTCATTTGTGGCAATGTGCATAGATTAGGGGGTGTAAGCTGGCTTAATGAGGAGAATTAGACACGGGGAACGTATGCAGATAAGTGACAGGGTTCACCGCCCTGTACCTGCTGTATTGGCCCTGGCCGCCGCAGCGAGCAGCAGGGCTGTGACAAGAAGGAGCTGTCTGATCCCCACACCTTGTCCTAGTTTCTTCTCCCCAGTGCGTCACGCAGAGAGGGACGGGCTCTGCTCGCTGTGGGCACGCAGGAGGGCAGCGATGTCCCCATGGGCAGCGTGCTGGGCCAGCGACAGTGCCGAGTTACCGCCCTGCGGGGAGGGAGGACAAGGAGTCACCACCAGAACCCCTGCATCTCACCCAACAATCCCATAACCATCCTCAGCCACCTCCACTCCTTCACTGCTAAGAGAGGCTCTTTGCAACCAGACCTCACCTTGTCTGTCAGTGTGACCTGGCAGCCAGGCTGGGCCAGGAGGAGTCTGACAATGTCGGTGTTGCCCTGCCGACAGGCCACCATCAGGGCTGTTGTCCCCTCCTCGTCCTGCAGGTTGACATCAGCCTGGCAGGACAGGAGGGCTCGCACCATGTCGTCCCGCTCGTGGCTCACCCCCAGCATCAGGGCAGTCTGGCCTCCCTGCAACCACACAGGGAAAGGATGAACTCATTGGACCCACCGATCTCCTATAGTCCTCCTGCTTATTTGGTTACATATAACAACAATAATCATAGAATCCCAGACTGGTTTGGGTTGGAAGGGACCTTAAAGCTCCTCCAGCTCCAACC